GTAATCTCTGAATTGTTTAATTAGAAAGCAGATAATGAAGCTTTAAAGCTTTAGTACTTTCAGGTACATAGAGTAACTCAAACTAAGTTAACAGAGGTCCTTAGGGTATCTGCTTTAACGAGTAAATTAAAAGTATAATTAGTTTCTATATCTATTAGGATGTTTTTAGCAGTAAAGAAGGGAAAATCTAAATAGAAGTGGCTTGAACAATAAAGAACATTCATCATGCCATGTAAGAGAAGGTCTGGAGGTTGAGTAACTCACGAGTTGCCAGCTCAGAGCTCAGCGACGTAATTAGGGCCCAGATTCCCTCCATCTTTCCACCCTGCCTTCCTCAGCAGATGGACTTTTGCCCTGAGGCTCATCTCCTTATGGTTTCAAAATGGCTGCCTCAGTCTCAGTGGCGCATTTGGACACATTAATGTTGAGCAAAAGAATAGAGATCATTTCTTCCCAAGTATCTTGTTGAAAGAGTTCCTGGGTAGTGCGGATGGTTAACATGCTCGGCAGCTAACCCAAAGTTTGGTGTTTCAAATCCCCCCAGAGGCACCTCAGAAGAAAGGCCTAGCAATCTACTCCTGAAAAATCAGCTATTAAAAACCCTATGGAGCACATTTCTGCTCTGACACACATGGGATCACCATGAGTTGGAATTGACTTGATGGCAACTGGTTGGTTGGTTGGTCTTTTTGAAAGAGTGAGAAAAGTCTCTCCCAGGAGACCTCCAGCAGACTTACAGGTCTTACTGATTAGAAATGCAGCACATGTCTATGCCTAATCCTTATCACTAGCCGGGAAAAGAGAATTAATCTTCGGTGGTTTAGGTTAATGAGCATTTCTTCTAGTGTCTGAAGAGAGGACCAGACTCCCCTGAATTGTATGAGTAATACCTGAAAAAGATGGAGATTTTTTTTAGCAAGGAGCAAGGTAAGGGATTGCTATGAGGATAGTGGCTTTCAGTGTCATTGTTGGTTGTTGCTGTGTGTCGTTGTGACAATTCTGACTCAGAGAGACCCCATGTGACAGAGCAGAACTGCCCCATAGGGTTTCCTAGGCTGTAGCCTTTATGGGAGCAGATCGCCGTGTGTCTACCACGTGAATGCTTGATCTGCATCCATCTTCCTCTTCTTCATGATAGAAGTGTGCATCCTTCTATCACAGCTGATCTCTCTACCCATGCTTTGGATTCTGTCCCCTCAGAGCTCCTGAGGAGCCTTGTGCTATCAATTACTCCTCTCTCTCTCTCTCTTTTTATTGTTTGTACATTCAACTGCTACTGCACTTAGATCCTCCTGGCTGATTTTTAAACTTGCTGAAATCTCTCTTGTTTAAAAACAGAAACAAACACAAAACCTCCCTTGTTCTCATTCCTCTCTGAGCAGGACCTATCTCTCCCCTTTCCTGTAGAGCCAAATTTCAGAGGGAGTAGTCTATTTCTACTTCTCCATCTCTAACCTTCTCATTCATCTCTTCTGGCTTCTGCCCAGAATGGCACTCAAACAGCTCTTGACCTCCATGTCACCAAATCTAACATATTTTCCAGTTCTCATCAAACTTGACCTTTCAAGATTAATTGACATGGTTGGCCACTCTCTTTTTGTTGACATACTCTCTTCCTTTGTTAAGACTCTCTTCCTTTGCTAGTCTTCTGATTTTCCTTCTATCTCTCTGACCATTGATTCTTATTCTTTTTTAGGCTTACGATTCACTAGCTGGATATTAAATGCTGGAGTTTAGCAAAGATCAGGGCATCTTTTCAATTTAGGCTTTTTCCCTAGGCAAAATTCTGTATAACCATGGCTTTGATGTCTATACAAATTTCTCCCCTGAGCTCCAGACACACATATACATCTACTGATTTTACATCATTCATTTGATGTTCAAGGATACTGAAGTTCAGCAAAGTGAGACTGTAACCCATGGTTTCCCTCACCTTGCCACCCTCAAACCTTGTTCTCTTACTGGTTTTTCTGTCTCGGAAACTGACAGCACCATCCATCAAGTGAAGACGAAAAGGAAACTTAAGTGGTATTCCTGAGATGTTTCATTTTTAAGCCTTCTATATCTAGATCATCTCAAGTTTTGTGAATTTTATTTCTTAAATATGTCTGGAACCTGTCCACTCCTCTCCATCTGCATCACTATCACCCTAGTCCTGACTATTAGCATCTCTTGTTTAGACTCCTATTGCTCTTATTCTCTGTACACTGGCCATCCCCAGTACCTCTAAAGCTCAGTGCTCCCTCCTGCCACAGGGCTATGCACGTGCAGTTCCCTTTGAGATGTTCTTTCTTTTCCTTTTTATATATTAACATTTTTCATCCTTCAAAGTTGATGTTGCTGTTGAGTTGATTCCAACTCATGGTGACTCCATGTGTACAGAGTAGAACATGGGTTTTCAATGGCTGTGGCCTTTTGGGAGCGGATAACCAGACCTGTGTTCTGAGGAGCCTCTGGGTGGGTTCAAACTGCCAATCTTTCAGCTAGTAGTTGAGCGTTTAACTTTTTTTGCCACCCAGGGGCAAATCATTTACTAGAGGGAGCCTTTTCTGGTCTCCCATGTACATTAAATCTTTCTCTTGTGATCTTTTTTAGCTCCATATACCTCTCCTTGAGCACTTACCATAGTTGTGAATTTATGTGTGTGATTAGTTAATTAGTGTTTGTCTTCCACAGAAGACTCTAAGCTTCTGAAGGACCATGTTTGTTTGTGCTTACAATCACTATTGTATCTCCTAGCATGGTGGCATTCAATATGGCAGGTGTTTTATGTATATTCTGTATATATTTATTAAATAAATTAACTTGTCAATGATTGGCATTGCATCAGTTATTCTTTGAAATAATACGTGTTTTTGAATAGTTTGTTCTCTTATGTGGTTTGAACAGTCCACACAGAGTTTTATTCATTATGATTATTTTTCTATGAAAAATTGTAGGAAGGGAAAGCTCATATATTCTTGGTGTGAATTCTCAGAAAATTTGAAAAACTGAGGTCGGGGTTAATTGGATTGGCAGTATTAGAACACATACCTACACATATACATTGCTACAGAACTCAGTTCTAGCAGATTCAAGGGTCTTTAAGCTGGCAAGAATTGTGGCGTCATTAGGGCTTTTCACTAATGTCAGTTCTTTCACACTGGTGATATGTTAAGACTGTACTTCTCTATTCATTTTAACTCGGGTGTGGCTATGTGTAAAAATGGCATGGCAGGGACGTCTTGACCTCCTCTAACTTCACAAGGGAGAAGGAGAATCAAGATTAACAGCTCAAGGCTGATTGCTATGAGGCAGAGGTCAGACATGCCTCCTTTCTCCACCATCTTTACCAATTTTGGCACCAATCATCCCTCCCACCACACTCCTACTTCTCTGTTGTGTTTAATAATTCGTTGCAGTGGCTTCAGAGAACTCACAGATAATACTCATGATTATGAGGTTTATTAGGGAAGTAACAGGTTACAATTCAGGTTCAGGAATGCTCAGGATACAGTTCTTCCATCGGGACAGCGTCTTCTCAGCTGTGCTCGCAGGCATGCCTCTCTCTGGCCCTCTGCCTCTGCACTGCTCAGGCAAGTGTTACAAAGCTCTTTTAGCTCTGCTGATAAGTGCCCCAAGGCACCTTACTCCAGCAATAAGCCTTGGCTGAAAGGCACGCGGCTTTAGCTCTCTTAGTTGGCAAACCTAGCTCTACCAAGTGCTTGGAGGCACCCTACTCCACCAGCAATCATCCTGCCCAAAGGCACTCAGCTTTCTCTCTTTGTGGGCTGGGAAGCCCACTGTGCCATCTCCTGCAGGTCACTCCTGCCACTGTTTCTCTGCCACCGCTTCTCACCATATTCGGTGTTACAGCTCCATCGGTCTCTTGGTTCCAGGAGCCTCTCAGCACAGGAATCTCAGGTCCAAGGACGTGCTCCACTCCTGGCTCTTCTTTCTTGGTGGTGGTGAGATCCTCTCCTCCTGCCTCTGGAATGGCTCATTTTAAGCCTAACGGGATGGAAAACCTGACCAATCCCCTTGGAGGGCCACAATTACCCTATTTGTGTATTCCCACCCAATCACTTGGGCGGGAGTTCCAAGACCGTGGTGAGAAAGGCCATATATAAAAATAATCCATCACACTGCACTATGTGACTTTCTTTGACCAATGAAATGCGAATGGAAGTAATGAACAACACTTCTAGGCAGAAGCTTTAAGAGCCAGCCTGTGATTTGCCACAGTCCCTACTCTCTGCCTTTGACATCATGGAAAAATGTTGAGTTGGAATCTCCATTAGTCTGCTTTTCTCAGTGACTGTGATGAAGAGAAAACCCCCTTGCCAGCCCATAACGAACATGTAGCTTATGCATTTGTTTTGTTATTGCAGCATAATCAACCTACCCTGACTGATACAGAAATATAATTGAAGTAGCTTCATGTAAGTCTTTCTTTGGCCTCCAAACACATGATTTTTCCATAGAGTAGAGAGAGGTTCCAGGACAACAATTAAGAAAGTTCGTTGACTTCCGCCAGGAAGTAATACAAACTGGAAAGTAATCACCAAGAAGAATGAAAAAGCACTGCTGTGTGAGAAATGAGATGAGCCAGGTTGGGGAGGATCTCTCTTGAACAGGGAGAACAGAGTGCCCTGATTGGGACCCCCAAGGTGCACCAGGAATGATGAAGTCATTTATTACCTGCTGATCAGAGGCATCTGGAGTGACCAAGCCACTTCTTTTTACACAAAAAGGATTTATAGTAATCCTTCTTAAAGCTATCTCCAGCTGTTCTCTCAAGCAGGTTGCCATTTCATTGGTGGGGCCAAAGGTAAAAATACAGAGTAAACACAATCTTGTACCAAAGTAGCCTCTCAGGATAAACTACAGCGAACTTCTTCATCTCTGTCCATAGAAGGAGTCTAGATAGTCACACTTTTCCACGTGCTCTGCATTTTTAAAGGAGTTTGACAGAGGTTGACTATGACTAAAATTTAAAACATGGCGTATTTTCTCCCTAGTTACCAGCTGAGATAGTTAAAGAAGATGAAGAGATACATGATAGTACCGATGATTTTGAAGGCAACAAGGTGAGTGAATTTTATTTTGTATTTAATGGCTTGGGCCTATGGCACCTTCTTATCATTGTGACAAGTGGAAGGGAGCTCAAGTTTGATGGTGAAAAGATGGAAGGTCACATCTGTTTGAGACCACAAATTGACACAGATTTGGAAACAGTATGCATTTTCTCGGTAGGTTTTAATGTAGATCAGGTCTCTTGTGTGCCAGAAAATCACATGAGTAATTTTCATGCCTCTTATACTTGTCCTGGAGTTGCTGGATGGTGCAAACGGTTAACACATTTGCCTGGTAACCGCAAGGTTGGTGGTGCAATCCACCCAGAGGTGCCTCGGAAGAAAGGCCTGGTGGTCTACTTTTGAAAAAGCAGCCATTGAAAACCTGACGGAGCACAGTTCTACTCTGACACTCTGGTGTCCCCATGAATCAAAATCGACTTGAGAGCAACTGGTTTACTGGTTCATACGTGTCCTAAATACCTTTTACTATACTTCTAGTCACATACTTGGAAACTTTTCCGAAACAAGTTTCAGCTGTATTTTTAGAGGGGAGAGTCAGGGGGAGGAGGAATATGGCAGCAGATGTGTAGGTGGTTCCATTTTAATAGACAACATAGACTTTCCTTTTTGTGGTTAGTCAGGGTTGTGTAAACAGTCATTTTGTTGGGGCAAATAAAAATGCCTACAGCGTACGCTCTATAGATGGCAGCATAAGCTAGCATAAAGAGACTCTTGGCTGTGTAATTTCTGTTTGTTTGCTGTTTTTCCTATCCAGACATTTTAGATATATCATCCACGCAGGAAGCATGTATCCGTGGTACTCTGTGAAATTATGTGACTAATCTTATACTTAAAATATATGTATTTGGAAAACAAAGTTTACTTTAAATATACAATTCATGTAGCTAAGAAAGAGACTTTTGGGAGTTTGTTTTCAAAATTGTCTCTAGATTTTTTTTCAAGGTGGGTTCTGGTTTTTAAATTTTAGCCCAAGGCTGGAAGTTGTATAATAAATCTGGGATATCAGGTCTGATTCGATTCTGATGCTTAGTACTCCAGAGCTATAAATAAACTTGGGGGTACAGCAGCCTTGCAAATAATCATTTTCTGCTCTTAAATTTACCCTGCAGCTTCCTAGCTTCCAAGTTCAAGAAGAGGGAGAAATGAGGACAGCGGGGATTGTGAGAGCATGTGGGGCTACTCCCACCTGCCCCCTGGTTCTTTGCCCAGCTTAAAAACGGGCGTTTGTGATAAAGGATATGGGTCCTCAGGAAATTTGTTCAGGTTTAAAAAAAAAAAAAACAAAAATCAAGGGCGCTTATGATCTAAAGCAGACTGTCAAAGAGAATAATTCCTTTAAAACAATGATTATTTCATTTCTTATTTCCTTAAATATGTTTGATTTGAAGGCAGCTTTTAGTAAAAGGTATACAGTCTGTATCGAGATGGGTCGGGAAGACTTTCAAAATGAGCAGGAAAGGTAATAACTCATTGCTTTGGTAACACAGTAAATGATTGTATTCTGACAGTAGGAGTGACAATGGAGAAGATATTTGTCCCTGAGGATTAGAGAAAGAGGGGCAGGAAAAAGAGCACTTCCTTGCACTGGGGGGACTAGAGAAAAGGGCACTATTACATTCCAGCTAGAGCTTGAATGCCATATTTTCATAGAAGTATGACACAGGCATTTTGATTACACTGAATTTATGATATTATTGAGTATCTTTTGCACAGTGGCCTTACTGACTTTTATGTAAATCTACTCAGGCCTCTGGGAGCATTAATGTGTATTAGTAACTTGATATCAGCCAGTAGCAGATTAAATTTCTTAGAGTGAATCACAGTATCTTTCTTAATGCAAGTAATATTGTTGGAATAATGGCAAACCCAAGCACCTCGTCTTTAAATTTGCAGGTTAAGAATCTAAGCCTCTGGGGAAAGGGGGTGATATGGAACTTCCATTCTTTGTTCAGGCATTAATGGTGTAAGATAGAGAAGGGAAAGGCTGGAGAGAGCGGACTTACATGTATCGAGCTTTTACTGTGTGCCACGACTGTGTTAGTCCCTTTTACATATGTTATCCCCTTTGATCCTCACATTGGCTCTTCAAGATGAGTATTAATACCCCCACTTTATATATTGAAGCAAAGAAAGAGTCTTGAAAGGCTTAAGTAATAACTTTTTAATGTCATATAGTTAGGACGTGATGGAGCTTGAGCTTGAACCCAGTTTTGAATGATTCCAAAGGCTGTGTTTTCCCCCCCCAGCCATGCTGGTTAGTGTATAAATTTCCAGAAGAGATAGTTACTGCGCTGGGCTTGGTAGTTTGTTCTTTATAGATGCAGTTGCTTTGATTGTTATGTACTGTTTAACTAGTTTGTGAGATGTCCAAAAACGTTTTCTTCTATTAGGTCTATACTCCTTCATCTTTGCTTCCAGCGTAACCTGAACAAAACTTTGTTGCATGTCCTTTCTTGATTGGTGTGAAATATTCTATGGGGTTAAAAGCTAACCCATGTTGATCGCTGGCTCAGAAAGAGAGAAAACCTTTTATATATTATAATAGCTAGCAATAATCATTCTAAGAAGTGATACTCAACTAGCATTTCCTGGCCAATAGACCACAGTGATCCATTATCTGCTCTCAGTGAACTGTAGGTTCACTTGGCATTTCATTTGTCCATTCATTTGGCAAATTTATCATGTGACATTTATTTGGTATTGACTGTATTGAAATTTAGGCATGTTATCAATGGCTTGATTCCTCCCCACCCCAAAAATAAATTGTGAAATTCGTAAGGGGCTGAGATTGTGCCTTCTAATCTTATATGGCACTCACAGTATCAACCACAGTATTTGATATGCAGTAGATGTTTAATAAATCTTTGTGGATTTGCTTTGAGTTACCTGTGACTGAGTAGATGGCTTAAACTTAAATATATAATCCTGGAAAAAAATGATAATTGCCTTGCAATGTTGTAAGAGAGCATATTATTATGAACACTGTTTCAAAAATGTGTATATTACATTTCTGATGTGTGATCACAAGGATTTCTGTTGTCCTGTTAAGCATTTAAAACAATCCCAGCCTTATGGAGCTTTTTAAATGTAGGCATTATGATCAGATCCTCCCCACCCCCAAGCCCAGGAAATTACGGACAGGTGAACTTATTTTGTCGTTACGTATGTCAATGACCTAGAAAAAGAAAGTAGAAACAGAGCTCTGCTTTCACAGGACACTTCTTCATCCTCAGAATGCTTTAAAGATGTTAATTAAGGAGTCATGACAACTCTGACAATATTCGGCATTTACAAAATGGAATCTTATCAACATTAACCTGAGAAGTTCTTCTGTGAGGTAATAGAGATGAAACGTGTATTTTTTTCTCTTATCTATTTCAAGTAATGTTCATTGCTCACAATTTTAATTAAATTGGGTGCTTGAGAACACTTGAAGCAAGGTAGACCGGAATTGTCTCTAGTTCTTAGTACTCGATCTGTTTGGATTGATAGTAAAAACATTTTATGTGCAATCAGTACTTTTTAATTTATGTTACTTGCTAAGTTTGTAAAAGAACGTGTAGAGGTTTTGAAAAGATTCAAAGATCCCTTTCCAAATGAATATGGAAGATAGGAACGGCAATGCTGAAAGATGTATCCACAGACTATGCATTTAGAGCTCTCCAAGGACGGTTTAATTGTCCTTTCCCTGAAAATATTTAAGTGTAGTCTGTATGCCAACCCTTCAGGGACATTTTAGAGAAGGCTTATGTATAGGAATGGTTGTGTACTGCATGACTTAAGGTTTCTTTGACTCTGAGGTCTGGATGATCAGCCTTCTAATAGTTTTTTTAGATTTTACTTCCTCTAAAGGGGCTATATAAAAATTTCATGGGTAATTTTGTGTATTCTATGAAATGAAGAGAGAGGAAAGAGAGCTCAATTGATTTTAATATTTTGGGTGACAATTTTTTCTTTCTTCAAGAGTATGCTTTGCATTTTTTCTGCCTCTTTTTGTGTTGTTCATGCTGCCTGGAATGCCCTCCGCCTAATCTCTGCCTTTTCAACTTTCACTTACCCTCCTAGGCTCCTTGTAAATGCCAACGTCTTCATTAAGGCTTTCTGGATCCTCCACCAAGAGGTATTATCTCTTCCTCCATTGATCCCCAGCGTTATTTTGTTTATAATTCTTTCATCATCTAAGTCATACGTTGGCTTTTATTAAGTTATTTGCATACCTTTACCATGTCTTCTGATAAATTGTAAGTTTTTTGAAAGAAAAGCCTGTGCTTAATTCATCTTTGGCACTTTCCACATTACCTGGCACACAGGAGTAACTGATCTTGAATTTATCAACAACCTGGATGATGTTAGGTATCTGTTATATGGCTATGGAGGCAGCATGGGGCAGTTTAAAGAGCTCTGGCTGGGAAGTGGCAAAACCAGGGCTGAGAAGTGATTCTCTATGGAGAAAACTAGAAATGAGGCTGAATATTCCACAAGTCTCAGAAGGCTAACTCTTAAGAAGTCATCATTCCCAAAGCTATAGCATTTCTCTATATGAAAATTAAACTCTTCTCTTTGGAAAACACCATAATGTCAAACGTCAACTAAAATATGGAGGAAAATAATTGTAACATAAATCACATTTTCTTTTCTTTTTTTTTACTTGTACTTCAGGGGACGGTTTACAGAGCAAATTAGTTTCCCATTCAATAATTCATACACAAATTGTTCTGTGACATTAATTGCAATTCCTGTAACTACCACCACCCATACCACTCTAAATCAGATTTTCTTAATTTATAAAGTACTAACATGTCAATACAAAGACATCCCAATAAAAAGAAAGGCAAATGAAACAGATAGGAAATTCACAGGAAAGAAACACAAGATTCCAAAAGACATAAGAAAGTATATTCACATCATTACTAATTAAGAAAATGCAAATAATAAACAATGAGGTTTTTTTTTGTTTTTTTTTTAATCAGATTGACAATGTCCAGTGCTGG